CCCCCCGTGCTGATCTGATCTGATCCAGGGTCTCGCCTGATGTCCTGGGTACCCTTCGGGGCTTGGTTCCCAGTGTTACCCACAGGCCGCGGTCCTTGAAGGTCAGCCACCGCTGAGGCTGTGAGCTAAGGTCGCCCGCACACAGCTGGGTACAACAGCCTGGACACACATGCCGTGCACACAGCCTGGGCACGCAGCTGCCCACAGCCTCACATAGACTCCATCCCGCAGCTCACCCGCACGCGCCGCGTCCTCCACTTTCCGAGGCCGCCCTCGGGGAGGCAGCGGGCTGCGAGACCCTCCAGGGCCTAGAGTAGCCGCGCTCTCTGCGAGCCTGCGGCCTTTCGATCGCGTTTTCTGTAGTCTTGGGCTGCGCATCAAAGAGCGGGCGGCGGCACGGGCGCTGCTGCGATGCTCAGGGCCGCTCCCCCTGCGCCCGCGGGCAGCGAGCGCACCTGTGGGCCGAGCGCGGCGGCTTCTCTGCAACCGGGCTGCGCAGTGCGGTCGACAAGCGGCGGTGAGGTCACGCCGGCCGAGCCGCAACCGGACACTCAGGGGGCCGCCCGTTCGATGGGCACCCGCAGAGGGCGCCGGGGTGGCCGGCAGTGCGCACGCTTTTCTTTTGCTTAAAACCGAATCCCGCGCAGCCGGAGTGTGCGGTTTAAGCCGCTCACTACACCCGCTAGAGGCAGGGTCAATGAGATGCTGGTGGTGCCGCCCCCGCCTACTGCCTGTGCCCTGGGCCCGGCCCGGAGGCCAAGAAAGTAAAAGCAAAAGTGGGTGCCAGATTGGCGCTGAGAGGGGCCCTAAGGACCGCGCGGGCGGCGTGGCACGGACCTCTGGGACTTGTTGCGCAGCTAGAGGCCTCTGGCCGAGGGGCACTTCTTGGGTATTTCTTGGTTTCCTGTACTCCTGGCTGGTCTGGAAGCCGCCTGCAGAGGGGTAGAGAGCTGTGCTTCTCTTCTTTGGGCCCCTTCTCTTCCAGGGGATGCTTTTCTGTCATCCTCTGCGGTCGAAGGGAGCAGCCTCCACTTCCCGTCCTAACAGTAGGAAAACAAGACTCAAAACTAGAGGTGAAGGCGGCAGAGATGTGGGCAGGGTGTTTGCCCCGGCATAGCCAGGATCCGGGCCTGGCAGAGGGTTTTCCTAGTGCTAGTGAGGAAAGTGGGAATTTAGGAACAGGAGATCACCTCTAGGGAAAGAGTGCATAAAACCAAAGTACAGCAACATTCCAGAAGCGTCCTGGTACATCCTGACAGTTTGAGAACTGTTTTCTCTACCCATTGGTATTATAGAAATACACTCAAAAGGCACATCAGCTACATTTGTACCTTCAGTCAAAAGAAGAGAAGTTAAAAGGAAATGTTAGAGGTAGCATACCCCAGTATCAGCTGGGTGACTTCTGTTTTCTTTTTCTCCTTTCTTCTTTCAGTGGGATTGCCCCGTTACCAGCATCACTCTACTCCAGTGTGTGACAGAAAAGATTTCGTCCTCAATTTCAATGGCATTTCTTCTTTCCATCCCTCGGCTAGCGGATCTTATTATCACCACCACCACCAGAGCATGTGCCAGGATATTAAGCCCTGTGTTATGTGAATGGACAGAGGCCTTGAAGGCTCTTCTCCCCTCTTCTTCAGCTTCTCCCCTCCCTTCTGAGAGGGGCAGCTAGGAACTTCAATGGACTCACATACTGTGCATGCAGATAGCAGTAAGTAGCACACCCGTCACTTAGACAAATGCCCAGGGGAGCCCTGCTCACCGATATTTTCCTACCCTGGAAGAGGAAACCTTCGACCAGGCAATACCCCCAGAGGAGGGAGAGAGAGGGGAAGTGATGGTAAAGGTTACTAGATGTAAAACATAAACTTGCAATTCTGGGGTGATCATTTCGTTCACTAATCAGGGTCTGAAAAAGCAGACTCTGTGTGTGTGTGTGTGTGTGTGTGTGTGTGTGTGTGTGTTTCTCAGTCTATGAAAGTGTGTGTGCTTTTCAAAAAGGCAGTGCTAAGCACAACTTTTCAAGAAAACCTTGTCCTGTTGCCTAGCCCAGTAGGAGAGTTCTGTTTCTAACACCCTCCCCCTCAATCCCTTTGGATACAGGTGCCAAAGAATATTGTGAAGAAATAATCTAGAACCAATGAGTCTAGTTTAAGAAAGTGGTTCTCAGTATTGTGACAATACAACATTTTTACAAGATTGTTTTCTACCACATTTTAAAAGTATTTTTATGATCTTCGTATACTCACACCTTGCTTGTATTTTAAAAGGAGGATATATTTGCACTTATGTATACTTTTACAGTTTGCCAAAATATTTTGATGTAAAATTTTTTCAATAAAATGTGTATAACAAATAGTTGGTTTTTAGGGACCTTTTCCTCTACAGTCACCCATTGATGCCCCCCCCAAACCAGCACTGCAACTCTAAACGGCCCACCCCCAAGTTGTATAATTGACATGGTGTGAGGTCTCTGCCTTGAGTAATCCAGGCTGGTTCTGATTGTGAGTCTTTTCAGAAGGGAAAAGAAGGAGGGGACACTTTTGTTATTTCTTTCTCGACTTCACCCTCACTTTTTCTGGCCAAACAGAAACCATAAGGTGTAAAATTAAAAAAAAAAAAAAAAAAAAAAAAAAAAACAGGCAAAATATTGAAAACCAAGGGTCTGATCTGAGGAAGCTAAGTTTTGTGCCCCGTTTGTTTTCTTTCCTGTGCCCCAAAGAGTTCTGCCCTTTGCTCTTTCCTCTTTCCCACCAGTAGTGAAAGATGTTGGAGCAGAGCAGGGAGACCTCATCTAGAGCCTAAGGCTTCCTTTCTAGGCTGCACTATGTTACGGGTGGTGATCAAATCAAAAGGGCCCACAGGACTGCTGCAGAGTGAGAGAAGACTCCAAGCTTGGAGGTTTTAAAGTGGCACCCCCTCCACATAGGTTTCCCACAGGGATTGTAAAGCCCCTGTTTCCTTTCAGCTGGGTTTCCCAATCCCAAAAGCTAGCACAGAACTGGTAGGGCTGGGGATTAAAGAAAGAAAACAATCCAAAAAGGCAGAAGGACACGTTTCCCACCCAGCCCACCTTTCTCTCAGGAGCAGAGAGTGGTTTGGCCTTAGTCACTCTATGGTAATTTTCTCTGCACCCCAGGGCTGGGATTTTGGTTTTGGTTTTGGCTTTTCTTCTTGAGTGGGAAACTCACTCTCCTCCTGGTCCACCATCAGGCACTTAACACTCTGGAGGAGATTCACTCGGGGTTTTTCAGGTTTTTCTACTTCAATACTTTTCAGTCCATCATGGTCTCCTGAATAAAAACATCTAGTTTTTAAAACTCTTTACCATATTTTAAATCCTTAAGCTTCTTTTCTATATTTTCTAAATTAAGAACTGAGTTAAACATTTTTGTTTCTGTATTATCATATTTGCAGTTAAATAGAGCTCCCCCCCCCCTTTTTTTTTTCCTGTCTTATATTCTGAGTTACTCAGGGGCCTGCTATAAATTATGAAGTCAGTCTCAGAGTTTGCTCCGACCACAGTGCTGTGTTTACATTCCTTCCAAGGCAGCCGGCATGGTCGTAATTTATATCCTAAACACTTGAACGTAACTTGTTTATACAGAGAATGACGGGACCTCAAAGACTCCTGGCCGGTAAGGCTGACCACATCGGGAGGACCAGCGCGCCCCCTGGTGGAGAGGGAGACCACCGTATAGGGATCTAGGCTCAAAGCTCTAGGATGACAAAATGACCTATTTCCTGATGCTTATCAAGGCAGACATTCAGAGTGCCTCACGTTCAGGAATTTGGCTTCTGGCATTTAGGGAACACTTTTGCTTTTCACTATTTTATTCTTTCCATCTACAGTTTATCCTGAAAACTGATCAAGATTCATCAGCCCTCCCAACCTACTAAGACCTTGACTTTTACATTTCTAGAGTTCTCCCCAACTATGGTCAGTTTCCCTTGGAGTCAAAATTGCCTCTCTTAACTGCCCCTCCCTTCAAGACAAATGCACATGGACATGTTGATATTCATTTCTTTTCTTTTTTTTTTTTCAAATTAAGGGACATGTAGTTCTTAGTTCTAAATGTATCTGAAATGTTGGTAAGAAATTATGGAAGTGTTGCAAAGCCTTTAAAAGTGAAAATAAATTAACTCAGTGGGGGCTCCAAATGTCCCAGCTGTTAGTGAATGCTGGGGGATTGAATCCAGAGCTTTCCACATGCTCAGCACTCTATCTACACCACCAGCCCAGGCCTCAACTACTTCATCAAGTGCATTTTGAATACTTAGAATTTCTGCTTGCTGACAGAATAAATTGATAGGCATAAAGATATCTGATACTTTTATTAAAAAGGCCTCTTTTTTGTTTTCAGTGTGGACTGTGTAAATAAAGAAGCAAGATAGCAAATAAACATAAAGCTTATCCTAGTGCTGGGCACTGTAGTTATCTAGGTAACCCTCATGTGGTTGCCTTGCTAATCCTTTCTCTTTCCCTACCGTATGGTCAGTGAGTTTCCATCACTATAGCAAATAGCCAACTGGGTCATAAAGAGAAGGGCTGATTTGACTCACAATTTGGTTGTTTTAGTCCATGAGGTTGGCTGGTGGTTTTTAGTTAAGCTTGAGTGAGGTAGCACCCTGTGGTGGAAGTGTGCTATGGAGAAGACTCTTCACCTCCAAGCCAGACAATTAGGGAGAAAATAAAAGATCGGTCCCCACAAGCTCCCCAGTTAGGCCCCAATAACCTGAAGACCTTCCACTCACATCCTACCCTTAAAGGGTATAATACCTCTGTTTTATCACAGACTGTGGCTACACCTTTAAACATGGGCCTTTGGAGACATTCCAGATGCCAATTTTAGTATGGGGATCTTGATACTAGTTACAGATTGTCCTTAGGTCTCTGGTTTGAAGGATCTGGCCCTAATCTGTGCATTTCCCAGAACTGCCTAGGATAGGATAGCCATTTCATCTGACACTGAAGACACAGGCAAGGTCTTCTCTGAAAAACAGTGGTTCTCAGATATGTGGAGCCTCCCAGTGGCCTGGAAGCGTTGTTAACCATGAGCTACTGAGCTCAGTGGATCCAGATAGAGCTCAAGAACTTGTTACGCCTATAAAAGTTTCTAGAGATGCTGAAGCTATTGTTTCAGGTACCACACTCTGAAGACCAGGGCTCTAGAATGATGCTCTAGATGAGATATTTTTATATGCTCCACTGGTTGATGTTAAGGCTAATCCCCCATTAGTGATGGAGCACAGATCTAAAGTTGTGTTTTTAAAATAGTTTTTCTACCTAAATGTCTCACTAATTGATTATTGGCACCTGGGAAAACACAAGGTCAAATTTGGAAGCACACACTAGAAAATAGGATCATCTCATTTTTATTCAAAGTCAAAAGAGCACTTGTTTTATTTTAGTAAATATTCAAGGAGGAGTCAAGTGGCATCAGTAAAGCCCCCCCCCCCCCGCCTCAGGCAGTAAGTCTCAGCACTTACCACACAATACAGTGGTGGGCAGAGTTCTCGAAAAAGAAAGAGGCAGCTCTGGAAAAGAAAATTCCTTAGTGGTTATACAAAGTTCTGAGGAGGGAATAGAGGGAAGGCAAGGTGGGTGGTGATCTCTGAAAAGAAGGGATGATGAGTTCTAGGTGCAAAGGAATCAAGCAAGACCAGGAATTGTGGAGGAGAGAAGAAAATGAGGGGGTGGAGAGAGGGAGGAAGAGAAAAACAAAAGAAAAAGGAGTGAGAAGTAGATGGAGAAGAAGAAAGGGGAGGGAAGAAAAGACAGACAGAAACAAGGAGAGAAGGAGAAAGAAGGGGAGAGAAAACACAGGGGAGCGAGGGGCAGCAACAAAGGAGAGAAAGGATGGAGAAAAGGTGGAAAGATGGAGGAAGAGAAATGACATTTGGTCTGGAGGAACCTGAGGACTTATCTCCAGCTCCTGCCTGTAGGCCATCCTGAACAGGGACTTCTGCCCCCTGAAGCCACTGCTATCTCTGGTCTGCAGTGGCAATCTTTTGACTGAAAGGCCAGCACACTCTTGTATTTGTGGGCTTCTGCATGGATTCTGGGACATAAATTCTGTAATTGCACATGGTCAGATTCTCTGAGGAGCAGCAGCAAGTTCTTGAGAGTTTAAGAACAGCACCGGAGAAAGTGGAAGTCTGGTTTAAGGGGACAAGCTTTGGGCTATCAGAATACAACACTGCACAGCATTAAATGGAGATAGCATTGCTCTTTCCTGAAAGAAAATCTGCAAATTTAGGGGCCTCTAATTACAGTGCATCATGGTGATTAATTCAGAACAGGCACCAACTTATTTAGAATGGAAATATATTTTAATATATTTTATCAGAACGGAAATACATTTTACCTAACCTGCCTCTGTGAAACACAATCTTAGCAAGGGAAAATACCACTGATGTAGACAGTGGGCCAGGGAGGGCCACAGCACGTAGACAGCAAGATCACTGGGGAAAAAAATGAAAGTCCTGGAAGTTCTTTTGGAGTTCAGAGTGCTCCAAGGCCACAGCAAACCAACCAATAAATATTCAGTTTGCTGTTCTCTAGGGGCCTTGTGTGATATATGCAGGCTATGGAGCCTGCCCATCTAGAACTGGATCCCCAACCCTCTTGGCATAAATGTATTCATGAGAGAACAGCAGAGCTCTGAGGGGCAGTAGGGGCCTTCTACAAAGGCCCATCACAGGCTCCAAACTGCTTTTAATGGAGCCAAGTCTGGCCAGAATACAGGGTAAAGGGGAGCGCTTTCTTGCTTTCTGGCTGTCTCCTGCTGGTTACTACTCAAAGCAGTTCCACTCAGTACTGATGCAGACAAACCAACTGAATAAGGGGTCACCAGGATGGTCTACCCAAGTAGCCTGTTCTTCAAGCAGGAGGAAAACAGACCACCTTGCTCCGAGTACAGAATTGCTCACACTAGGTTGAAAGACAAGCTATCCAGGCATGGATTTGAACTTGAACAGATTCC